TGAAGGAGAAGAAATCTGAGAATCCTGTGGCGAGCGCCCGCTTAAATAACCATTCCGGCGGGCTTTGGCAGGGGTTTTTTTGCCATAGGCTCGTGCAGCTCCGCTGCCGAGTCATTGGTTCGTTTTTGATACACTGCACGAACCAATGGCCGTACAGTTTCACTGCGTAATTGAAAAAAGGCTTTTTCCCATAGCGTCTTAAGACAAGACGCAGTACGAGTGTAGTATCGAAAGGGAACCATGGTTAATTTGTGGTTACCATGGTTTAACTACAATAGCCATGTTTTTTTTATCTTTTTTATTTGTAGTACAACCATGGTTAATTTTCATAAGGGTAGTATTATTAGCAATATATTTCTGAAAATAAGTGGGTAACAAATGTGACGGTGTCATTTAAATGCTTATTGTGTATGATAGTAATGATTCACAGACTTAACTTTCACAGACACTTTCCGTTTTTATAAGATCATGACGTATCTCAGTATTTGCATTGGCCCTCATAAATATCTGTTGGTGGATGGGTGGTGAAGATGATGATGGCGAGCGGTGTGGGCAGGTTGTGTTTTTTCTCAAAAGACTGTTCTGGCCCCTATGGTGTGGGTGGGCTCTCTGCCCATGAGGCTACTGGCTCTGGACTACGGTGCAGATATTGTGTACTGTGAGGTGAGGATGAACATTTACACCAGTGCATGGCACGTTTCACACCATCTGAAGCTAATGCACTTGCTTTGAAATCTGCTAAATGTGCACATGGTCTCATGGCCCTTGAGTATTTCAGGAGCTGATTGACATCAAAATGGCCCAGTGTGAGAGAGTGGTAAACGGTACATTATTTTGTATTATACAGTATGTCACTCAGGCACATTTAACATGTTTTAGCTGCTCTAAGTGATGAGAAATCAGACCAACTTATGTATTAACCGTATAAAGCTCACTGTATCATTTTTGATAGGCACATTTCTAAGGCCTCTAAATGATCAACATGATGAAATATTGGTGAAAAACCTATTGTACACAATCTACTACACGCCTTCTGTCATCTGGTTGATATAGTTTATACTCTTTTAGTGTGAATGTACCAATGTCCACCTTCGGCTTGTGCTTCACATGTCTTTTTGCTGTGATTTTTAAAAAAAGTAAACATACAAATAAATGTTTAATTGTTAATATCTCAAAATAAATGCTTATTGCACTGAAGCAGCTCAGCTTTATTTGAGTATCCTTTTATTTATTTTTTTTCTGTTCAAATATGAGTATCAAATATGATCATCAGGCTTTTGAGCAGTGTTTATTTGTTCATCTCTCAATCATCATTGTATAGTATCTGCTGTGCTGTTATAAAGATCCCATTGATTTTTCGCTGATTACAAGCCACCAGAAGTTCATCTTACCATATGTTTTTTGACAGCAAAAAAAAATAAAACTCATGCTTTACGAGGTTACTAAACCTTCTTATGTGTCTTCAGATGTTTTGGAGACGGTTGATTTTGTTGCAGATGAGTGTGTGATGTTTCGTTCCTGCAGTAAAGAGAAGGGCCGTGTGGTCTTTCAGATGGTCAGTATGTGAACTTCTTCACTTTTATTTATTCAAAGCATGTCTCAGATTGGGCACATTATTGTTTATATCTGTGTGATGAGTTATGTGCTGAAGTTGAATGCATTTGAGTATTTCAGATTGAGTGTATACTATGTTATCAGCTGAATTTATATAATATTTAAAAAAATAATAATAATCGTTTGAGTTGTGTTATTAATTTTAACCCTAGCAACCACATAGCAACACCCTAGCAACCACCCCAATTACACTAGCAACCACCCTGGGTACCCTAGCAACGGCCCTAGGAACCATCCTAGGTACCTTAGCAACCGCCCCTAATACTCCAGCAACTGCATAGAAACAACCTAGCAACTACCCCGAGTACCCTTGCAACCACCCCGACTACCCTAGCAACCGCATAGCAACACTCTAGCAACCACCCTAATTACCTTAGCAACCACCCTGGGTACCCTAGCAACCGCATAGTAACATCCTAGCAACCACCCCGACTACCCTAGCAACCGCATAGTAACATCCTAGCAACCACCCCGACTACCCTAGCAACCGCATAGCAACACCCTAGCAACCACCCCAAGTACCCTAGCAACCGCATAGTAACATCCTAGCAACCACCCCGATTACACTAGCAATCACCCTGGGTACCCTAGCAATGCCCTAGCAACCACCCCGGGTACCCTAGCAACCGCATAGCAACACCCTAGCAACCACCCCAAGTACCCTAGCAACCGCATAGCAACACCCTAGCAACCACCTCGATTACCCTAGCAAACACCCTGGATACCCTAGCAACTGCCCTAGCAACCATCCTAGGTACCCTACCCCACCATGAATACCCTATCAACCTCATAGCAACACCCTAGCAACCACCCATGTTAGCATAGCAACTGCATAGCAACCACTTAGAACACCACCACCCTGAATACTCTAACAACCGCCTAGCAATGCCCTAGCAACCACTCAGATTACCTCAGCAACTGCCTAGCAACGCCCAAACAACCACCCAGAAGACCCTAGTAACTCCTTAGCAGTCGCCTAGAAACACCCTAGCAACCAAGTGCCGAGTTTTGCCACGGCAAGCACCACTCACATTTTCCTCAGAAAATTTACATATCTAGTTTTAAAATACAATCTGATTTTGTGCTTGTGTTTCAGGGAATGGCCGATCTGGAGAGAGCGCTGGCTGTGGCTAAACTTGTGTGAGTTGGATGTTTTTATTTGTGTTAGTATCATATATTCATGTGACCTGGCTTACTTTTAGTTGGGGTTTAAAAGACAATTAATATTCAGTAATAGTATGGATTTAACTGCACTGACATTATAGAGAGAGAACAAAATTTGAACTAAATTGGGCTGAGTAATGACACAAAATTAGCTGCATTGACATTGTTAGTGAACTGAATTATGGCACTATTATCTTCTGTAGAGCTGCTTTACAGCTAAATCGAATGTTTCTTAATTGATTAATTTCACGACATTGCTACATTACTGGTAATACTGTTCATTTTCTTTCTTTTTTACTGTCATACTGCATTGAAACAACTTGTATGGCATAAATTGCTATGTGACTTGACTTGAAATTAGACTAAGTATTAGATATAAAAAATGAGCTTGTTACGGGGCTGACGAGACGTGACACGTGCGGATCCATATGCAAGCTTTATTTTGGAAAAGAGAGACGTGGTCATGAAACAGGCATGAGTCAGATAAAGGCAGACAGGTATATGGCGGGCAAAACACAAGAATAATCCTAGGGCTAGCGTGGGTCGACGATTGGCAGACAGAGTCACAGGGGCAAGGCTAAAGGGAGAAATCCAGGAAAACAGGCAAAGATCAAAACCGGAGAAAACGGCTAAGGCTAAGGCAGGGAAACGAATGAGGGCTCTGTAGAGTAGCTATCTGGGAAGGGATCAGAGTGAGTGTTAAATAGTGAGGGAGTGATATGAAACAGCTGGGTACAATCAGTGTTAACAGCTGTGTGCAATCCGTGCTGAGTGCAATCAGTGCAATGAATGATGGGATATGTAGTCCGGGGTGATGTGCAACAGTGTGTAGTGCGAGAGTCAATGAAATTGGAAAGGGTGACCTCTGATGGCTAGCAGAAGGAAGTTCATGGACCGGATTCGTGACAGAGCTCCCCCCCCAAGGAGCGGCTTCCAGACGCTCAAAACCCTTTACGATTCCGGAGGGCGGTGGAGTGGAGGCGGAACAGGGGGAGGGATGGAGGGCCTCCTGGAAGTGGAGAGACCATGCACTGAAGAGTGCAATCAGTGCAATGAATGATGGGATATGTAGTCCGGGGTGATGTGCAACAGTGTGTAGTGCGAGAGTCAATGAAATTGGAAAGGGTGACCTCTGATGGCTGGCGGGAGGAAGTTCATGGACCGGATTCGTGACAGAGCTCTAAATGAATGCACATTGAAATTTGAACAGGGAAAATTATGTGGCCGCAGTGGATGTGAATATGGGCTGTCCCAAAGAATACTCTACAAAGGTACAGGTTTGGGTCTGTGCCAATCATACACATAAGAGACCACGCGGACAATCTGGCATTTAAAATCATATTTTAAACTAGAAATAAACAAAAGCTTTTTGAATTTGAAAAAGAGTAAGATGCTGGGTACCATCCATCAACACAGTGGAGATGCACTACAAAGACATTCCAGCATTCACCTTAAGCTTTACATTTCACTTCTCACTCCATTTAATTTGTAATAAAAAAATAAAAAAGGTACAAAATTAGGAAGAAAAAATATAGAAACATCCGTGTTAGTGTTGCAGTAATGTAGGAATATAAAGTACATATTATTATTATTATTATATATCTGCTGCTGCTAATTATACATTTTCCATTCATTTCACATAGGGAGGAATGGGTTCGGCGCTTCTCTCTGACCCCGAGAAAATTGAAGCTGTAAGATTTCTTAGGTTTTTTTTAAACATATCAGTTGTATTAGTTTAAAATATGTTTCACTTTTATTTCTTAACCATTTGTCTTTTGTAGATACTAAGCAGTCTTGTGAATGGCATTTCAAAACCTGTTACATGTAAAATCAGAATCCTTCCTACAGTAAGTGACATTTTTTCTGGGTATGTATTTTTCCAAGCAGTTGGACAATCTGGCATTTAAAATCATATTTTAAACTAGAAATAAACAAAAGCTTTTTGAATTTGAAAAAGAGTAAGATGCTGGGTACCATCCATCAACACAGTGGAGATGCACTACAAAGACATTCCAGCATTCACCTTAAGCTTTACATTTCACTTCTCACTCCATTTAATTTGTAATAAAAAAATAAAAAAGGTACAAAATTAGGAAGAAAAAATATAGAAACATCCGTGTTAGTGTTGCAGTAATGTAGGAATATAAAGTACATATTATTATTATTATTATATATCTGCTGCTGCTAATTATACATTTTCCATTCATTTCACATAGGGAGGAATGGGTTCGGCGCTTCTCTCTGACCCCGAGAAAATTGAAGCTGTAAGATTTCTTAGTTTTTTTTTAAACATATCAGTTGTATTAGTTTAAAATATGTTTCACTTTTATTTCTTAACCATTTGTCTTTTGTAGATACTAAGCAGTCTTGTGAATGGCATTTCAAAACCTGTTACATGTAAAATCAGAATCCTTCCTACAGTAAGTGACATTTTTTTCTGGGTATGTATTTTTCCAAGCAGTTTGTTGCTTTTTTTTTTTTTTTTTTTTTGAGGAAAGCATACTTAAATATTAAGAGTTAATAACCCCTGATATGAATCGCGTTCTTTACTGTTCCTAGTAATTAATGTGTAGTTCACCTAATGTGCTCTCCCAGCTGGAGGACACAGTGAATTTAGTGAAGAGAATTGAAAAAACAGGAGTGGCTGTCAGGGAGTCATCACAATCACCTCAGTCTCCACCAACTACACTCACCAGATCAAAATCACCTGATTACTGAGCACCGCCACCTGTCAGCACTAATCAGCAGCACTATATCCTCGCACTCCTCCCGCACACTCACTGTCTGGTCTCATACATAGTATGTGGGAATTACCTTGCTCTAACATATGTTTATTCACCTGCTAGTTACACGATCTCTCTGCTCCTCGATCTCTACCATTCCGGAACTCCACCGTCTCTCCACTCCTTCAGCACCTCGGATTCCCTGGAAAGGAATTGGACATTAACACTCAGATAAGACCCAAGAGCCTTATCCCAGTCCCCACTCACTTACCTGGATGCTCCTTGCTCTGTGTTCAATAAACCTACTGTTTATATTTCACCTTACCTCAGTGTCCCGTGTATATCTGCTGACAGAAGTCCTGAACTGAAGACCGGAGATGGAGCACCCGAGCCCCGCGACTCCGGATCCGCTCGAGGAGCTGGTCAGCGCTCTTCGAACGGCTTTCTTTCCGGTCACACAACCTCAGTCTGCCTTGGCCAGTCCCATGGCCATCCCTGCCACCTATTCGGGTGAGGCGGTTGAGTGTAGCGGTTTTCTCCTACAAGTTTCTCTCTATATTGAGATGCAATCCCATAAGTTTTCTAATGAATGTTCTAAAGTGGCCTTTCTGATCTCTCTGTTAGCTGGACGAGCTCTGCTCTGGGCGCGAGCCATCTGGAATTCGCAGAGTACATTAATTAACTCGTTCGATGCTTTCTCTTCCCACTTCAAGGAGGTTTCACCGACAGGGTTTGGATCCTCAGATCAGAGCACAAATGGCGATATACGACGACAATGTTGGCCCGGAGAGCTTCATGCAGAAGGCTGTCAAGATCTCCCAATGTCTCACGGCTTGTCAGCCCGACAAAACCGCTCATTTTCCAACCTCACCGGCTGCCTGTCCTCCAGTACCATAACCAATGCAGCTAGACACCAATCGCCCCTCACACGTGGAGCGTGACCGACGTCTAGCCTCGGGATTATGTCTGTACTGTGGAATCCCCTCTCGTCCCCCACGCCCAGCGGTGAGTACTCTCCAATTTGAGCCTGCTATATCTACCTTGCCCTTGTTAACTGTACAACTACTCACCCCAAGTCATTCCATTTCAGTATCAGCCCTCGTGGCAATTTCATCTTACAAACCCTCCTAAGACAGCTTGACTTACCCCGCAGGTGACAAGCCCAAGAGCTTAAGATTGAGACCATCCAAGGAAAGCAGCTCGGGCGTGGGTACATCAAGTTCCGGTCTCCGCCGATCAAGCTGCAAGTGGGCTGTCTACATCGGGAAACAATCTCCTTTCTGGTACTGGAAGTATCCACTGTGGATATCGTCCTGGGACGCCCCTGGCTATCACAACATTCACCCGAAGTCAGATGGGAGTCCGGCGAGATACTGCGATGGGGTGAGGCATGTTTCCAAAGTTGTCTCTCCAACTTTCTGGCACCCCGAGTCAAGAACCCCAAACTTCATGTTCACTCCACCCTCGTGGAAAGCCCTGGAACACTCGAGGCGTTCCAGGATGTGTTCAGCAAACAGGCAGCAACGAAGTTACCACCGTACCAATCATGGGACTGTGCCATAGACCTGCTGCCTGGAGCTAAACTCCCTAAGGGTCGAGTATACCCTCTGTCCATCCCGGAGCGCAAGGCCATGGAGGAATACATCAAGGAGGCTCTCCAACAACAGTTCATCCGCCCTTCCACCTCACCGGCAGCTTCAAACTTCTTCTTCGTGTGCAAGAAGGACGGGGGATTGCGGCCATGCATTGACTACCAGTCAAGCTCCCCTATCCACTTCCCCTGGTCCCGGCCGCTCTCGAGGAACTCCGTGGGGCTCGCATCTTCTCGAAGCTGGATCTGCGTAGCGCCTACAACCTCATTCGTATCCGGGAGGGCAACGAGTGGAAGACTGCATTCATCACCCCCTCTGGCCACTATGAATATCATGTCATGCCGTATGGCCTCTCCAACTCACCGTCTGTCTTCCAGGGGTTTATGAATTAGGTGTTCCGGGAGTTCCTCCACAAATTCGTCATAGTATACATCGACGACATACTGATCTACTCCCGGAACCTGGCCGAACATCACCACCACGTCATGCAGGTTCTACAACAACCCAGGAAACACCATCTCTACCTGAAGCTCAAGAAGTGTGAGTTCCACCGCCCAACGGTTCACTTCTTCGGTTACATCCTCAGCTCAGATGGCATTCAGATGGACCGGGGGAAGGTCCAAGCTATCCGGGACTGGCCACAACCTCAGTCGGTTAAGGAACTACAACGATTCCTCGGCTTTGCCAATTTCTACCGAAGATTCATCCAGAACTTCAGTATCCTCTCGGCTCCCCTCACTACCATGCTCCGTCAGAAACCCAAGTCTCTGTCCTGGAACCCCGAAGCTCGAGCCGCCTTCCAGAAACTCCAGGAGACATTCTGCACTGCCCCCATCCTCATACACCCGGATCTCCAACTTCCATTCATCGTTGACCCCGACTCCATCCTTGCGCCTATTACTCCCGGAAGCTTTCCCCAACGGAGCTAAACTATGATATCGGAAACCCGGGAACTTCTCACCATCAAGCTGGCGCTGGAGGAATAGCGGCACTGGCTGGAGGGAGCACAACACCCCTTTACAGTAATCACTGACTACAAAAACCTCCAGTATCTTCGCAGTGCCAAGAGGCTAAACCCCAGACAGGCCCGCTGGGCCCTCTTCTTTACCCGGTTCCAATTCATCATCACTTACCGACCAGGAGACAAAAATGTCAAGGCTAATTCACTCTCTCGCATTCATGCTCCCGATGAAACCTCCGCACCGGAACCCATACTCCCTCCAGCCGTCCTTGTTAACCCCATCCGGTGGGCCCTGGATGAACAAATCCGCCTCGCCGCTGGGAGGCCCAGAAGGTAAAACCTACGTACCCACCTCCTTACGATCCTCCCTTCTGGGCTCCCTTCATGCTTCCCCGGGCTCCGGACACCCAGGCAGCCAGCGTACTCTCATACTGGTGGCCCAGTATGGCCCGGGACATGTCCAATTATATCCGTGGATGCTCAGTCTGTGCCATTACCAAAACTCCACATCACTTGCCAGCTGGAAAACTGGTCCCATTACCTATCCCTCGTCAGCCCTGGTCCCACGTCGGAGTCGACTTTGTGACCGATCTCCCCAACTCAGGAGGGTATACCTGCATTCTGGTCGCAGTAGACAGATACTCCAAGGCCTGCAAGTTAATTCCCCTTCGGGGTTTAACCACAGCCCTAGAAACAGCAGAAGCTCTCTTTCATCATGTCTTCCGCAACTTCGGTATCCCGGAGGATGTTGTCGCCGATCATGGGCCCCAGTTCCTCTCTCATGTCTGGAGGGCTTTCTTCAAGATCCTCTGTGTCACCGTAAGCCTGTCCTCAGGATTTCACCCCCAGACTAATGGACAGACTGAGCGGAAGATACAGGAGATTGGGAAATATTTCCGGGCCTACTGTTATGACAACCAGCACAGCTGAAACTGATTCCTCCCATGGGCCGAGTATGCACAGTTCCCTCAAGCAAACCACCACTGGCCTCACCCCGTTCCAGTGCATACTCTGCTACCAACCCCCTCTATTCCCTTGGACAGAAGAACCCTCGGACGTTCCAGCTGTAGACCACTGGTTCCGAGTGAGCGAGAGATTGTGGGACTCACCTCATGTCCAACTCCAGCAGGCAGTGAGGAGACATAAGACCCACGGAGATACCCACCGGTCTAATCCCCCTCGTCTAATAAGGTCTGGCTCTCCACCCGGGATCTGCGTCTCCGCCTGCCCTGCCGAAAGCGGAGTCTCCGCTACATGGTGGCATTCACCATCGAGAGGCAGATTAATGAGGTCACCTTCCGTCTTCACCTCCCAGCCCAGTTTCATATTCACTCAGCATTCCATGTCTCACTCTTAAAACCTCTTAGAACCTGCCTTTTCCTCTGTCGCAGTACCTCCTCCTCCCGAGATCGTCGAGGAACCCCTGGTCTACCATGTGCAGGATATCTTGGACTCCCGACGACGGGGTGGTAACCTAGAATACCTCATTGATACGAGCTGGAGAAGAGATCTTGGGTGGCCCGGGACGATGTACTGGATCACTCTCTTCTGGCCGACTTTCATCAGCACCACCCTGACTTCCCCGCACCCAGAGGCCGTGGCCGACCCTGTCACCGCAATAGGGCGTCAGGAGCTGCCCCTGGAGGAGGGGGTACTGTCAGGGACCACCGGTCTAATCCCCCTCGTCTAATAAGGTCTGGCTCTCCACCCGGGATCTGCGTCTCCGCCTGCCCTGCCGAAAGCGGAGTCTCCGCTACATGGTGGCATTCACCATCGAGAGGCAGATTAATGAGGTCACCTTCCGTCTTCACCTCCCAGCCCAGTTTCATATTCACTCAGCATTCCATGTCTCACTCTTAAAACCTCTTAGAACCTGCCTTTTCCTCTGTCGCAGTACCTCTCCTCCCGAGATCGTCGAGGAACCCCTGGTCTACCATGTGCAGGATATCTTGAACTCCCGACGACGGGGTGGTAACCTAGAATACCTCATTGATACGAGCTGGAGAAGAGATCTTGGGTGGCCCGGGACGTTGTACTGGATCACTCTCTTCTGGCCGACTTTCATCAGCACCACCCTGACTTCCCCGCACCCAGAGGCCGTGGCCGACCCTGTCACCGCAATAGGGCGTCAGGAGCTGCCCCTGGAGGAGGGGAACTGTCAGGGAGTCATCACAATCACCTCAATCTCCACCAACTACACTCACTAGATCACAATCACCTGATTACTGAGCACCGCCACCTGTCAGCACTAATCAGCAGCACTATATCCTCGCACTCCTCCCGCACACTCACTGTCTGGTCTCATACATAGTATGTGGGACTTACCTTGCTCTAACATGTGTTTATTCACCTGCTAGTTACCCGATCTCTCTCTGCTCCTCTATCTCTACCATTCCGGAACTCCACTGTCTCTCCACTCCTTCAGCACCTCGGATTCCCTGGAAAGGAATTGGACATTAACACTCAGATAAGAGCTCACTTACCTGGATGCTCCTTGCTCTGTATTCAATAAACCTACTGTTTATATTTCACCTTATCTCAGTGTCCCGTGTATATCTGCTGACAGTGGCGGCCATAGCAGTGCACGGCAGGTGAGACGCTTTCTTCAAAAGTCTGGTTATAGATCGAGTTGTGGACTCGAGTCACATGACTCAAGACTTGACTCGGACTCGTCCCAAATTTGAGGACTTGTGACTCGACTCGACATAATCAAAGAAGACTTAGACTTTGAGAACAATGACTCGAGACTTGACTTGGACTTGAGGCCTGTGACTCGGAAAAAACCATCATGTCAATAAAGCTATGTCTATTTCTGTAGACCTGCGTTAGTAGGTGGCGATAAATGAGCACCTGTATGACGTATTAGTAAGTTATTAAATATTTGACTCACTTGATTCATTAAAATCACTGAATCATTAACAAATTAAACATTCACTTAGGCCTATATTTGTTCACAAACAATGATCCATTCCTCAATGAAACACCACTAATTATTACATCTTTATAATTATACTTACAATAGACATTTATTGACTTTAAATTTATTGTAGTAATTCATACAGAGACAATAATTTTGGCAGACAGCACAAATGACTTGTTTAGGATTTGAAGCTTGCAACTAGACTTGGACTTGTCTGTCTTGACTGGAGACTTGAATGCAATGACTTGCTATTTAAGAACATCTTTATATTGTGTTGTTTTCATTGTGAGGATGAAAGAAGAGTGTCCGCGGCATCCAGTCCACTGTGATTATATCCAGGCCATGGCTGCGATTGTGTCCATACCTCTCATCGCCAAGTCAGTCTTCATTACATTCATGCCACAGTCACTCGACGTATTTGTGAAATAAAAACTGAATCAGCAACCTTTTCGAATCTGTTAATCAATTTGACATTTTTGGTATTATTGGTTTATAATATCTTTGTATTGTTCTTATTATTTAGCCCTTTTTCTTCTCTGTCTTTAGTGGAGGCTCTTCAGACACAGTGAAGACATTCGAGGACATGGAGAAGTTTCGAGAGGCGACAGGAGCGTCGTCTGTCATGCTGGCTCGGGCCGCATAAGTTATTAGTTATGAGGTATAAGTTGTTTGAAGGCAGAATCAATCATATAAAATCGATAACGCTTTACACAAAGGTTCCAGTTTTTAATATTATGTGAAAAATACTTTTTTATTAATGTTAGTTCATGTTGATTGCAACATTTACTAATACATTATTAAAAAGAAAAGTTGTATCTGTTAATGTTAGTTAATGAGCTAACATGAACTAATAATGAACAGTTGTATTTTTATTAATTAACGTTAACAAAGATGAATAAATACTGGAACAAATGCATTGCTCATTTTTAGTTAATGTTTTAAATATAGTTAACAAATGGAACCTTATTTAAGTGTTACCAATAATTCATGACAAAAATTACGTAATAATAATAATAATAATAATTATTATTATTATTATTATTGTTATGGACAGGAATAATTAACTAGCTCTTTTTATAACACATCATAAAAAATAAAATGAAAACATAATAAAATACAATAATATTGTATGATTAAAAAAAAAAAAAACTCTTTAAAAGTAAATGTATAAGATGAAATGTGACCCTGGAGCACAAAAGCAGTTTTAAGTCGCTGGGGTATATTTGTAGCAAGAGCCAAAAATACATTGTATGGGTCAAAATTATTGATTTTTCTTTTATGACAAAAATCATTAGGATATTAAGTAAAGATCATGTTCCATGAAGATATTTTGTACATTTGCTACCGTAAATATATCAACTTAATTTTTGATTAGTAATATGCATAGCTAAGATTTTCAAATAGCTGTATCTCGGCCAAATATTACTAACAAACCATACATCAATGCAAAGCTTATTTATTCAGCTTTCAGATGATATATAAATCTCAATTTCGAAAAATTTACCCTTATGACTGGTTTTGTGGTCCAGGGTCACAAATAGCAAATTAGTCTTCCATGAACATACTTTAACTCTAATGCTTCCACTTGTATGGTATATTATATTGTAAAAAAATAAATAAAATTGATTTTTTCTTCCCTATGTTTACCCACAAGCAGTTTGTTATGACAGTAACCCGTTTAACACCAAATACTGCTTCTGCCAGATGCTCAGATGCTCAGAGACAGAGTTGAGTCTCCATTTGGAAAACGATTGCATGCAGCTCAGACCAACGAAGAAATATGGTAACGTCATGCATTGCACATCTAGATTATTATAAATTTTTTTTAATGGTTCATTTGATGCACAAAACAGAAAACACTGTATTTAAGATCGATATGACACTAATGACTATGATAATGAGTTATTAAATGTGCTTAATTGTTTGTCATGTCTCTTTAAATATGACCTGGAGATTTGCATGTCTGTCTGATGCCGATTAATCGTTTGACAGCACTAATTTATTTATATTTATTTAATCCATATCCAGTAAGTCTTGATCAACTGGAAAAGTTTAATGGCCTTAGGATATTAATCTATTATGTTTTGACAGGATATTTAAACGCAGTTTGTTCACTTCTCAGGAACAGCGAACTCAAGATCGAGCTTTCCAGTCTGCGGTTATCGTGGACGATAAGAAGTACCGCTCTACTCTGTGGTGAGTTCGGTTTGTGATACACTTACACACTGCAGTAACGCAGAGGGGACGACTGTACGACTCTTCTGTCTCTGCTTTGCTCTCCTCAGGGAGAAACCAAAGAAGTTGGCAGAGCAGGCCGCGGCTACAGTGTGTTTGCATACTCTCGGGCTTCCAGGGGGCCGAATCGGAGAGGAGCACAGCGTAAACGCTAGAGGGACGACAGAAAGTGTGCAGCATTAGATGCCAATGAGTCAGCAGCGCGAAAGAGACATATAAGTGAAGTCCCACAGGAAGAGGAAGAGGAAATGATATGCAGGACGAAAGTTGTGAATGGTGTCTGTGGTCAGACCACATGTTAACATTGGCCAGACACCATCTGAACTCACTCTTAAACACATTCATTCCCTTTCATTAAAGTGCAGAGTGCAGTTTTATCTGACAAATAACGGTGCACTTTGTATTTGCTTTTAAGTTTTGTTAAATTCAGTCTTCCAAGTGCCATCTCTGTCTTATTGCACACTAGTGCTGGTTTGTTATTTTCTTTCTGACACAATTTTTGCCTGGAGGAATAATGAGATTTTTATTAAACACACTTTTAAAGTTATTTCGACAGATTTCCACCCTTCACCAGAAGGGTGCAGTGTATCTCCACGTACTTACAGTACAAGGAAGTACCAGAAGTACCATAACATGTCATAAAACTTTTTTATTTTAAGAAATTTTTTTTTGTTTTGTTTTCAGCATTATTGTGAAATAAACCATTTAACTATGCATTTTATGTATTTTTGTCCCCCAATGTACTGTAAAGTGACTCACAAATGTCGAAACCTTGTAAGCTGCATAACTAGACAGCATTTTGGGCATTATAATACACATATGATGTCAAAATAAATAAATAATAATAATTATGTGTGTGTGTCCGTGTGTGATTGTGTGCGTGTGTGTGAGGGAGTGAGTGTGTGTGTGTATGTGAGAGTGTGTGTGTGCGTGTGCGCGTGAGTGCGTGTGTGTGTGTGAGGGAGTGAGTGTGTGTGTGTATGTGAGTGTGTGAGTGAGTGTGCGTGTGTGTGTATGTGAGTGTGCGTGTGTGTATGTGAGTGTGTGTGTGTGTGTGTGCGCGCGCGCGTGTGTGTGTGTGTGTGTGCGTGTATGTGACTGTGTGTGTATGTGAGTGTGTGAGTGAGTGTGCGTGTGTGTGTATGTGAGTGTGCGTGTGTGTATGTGAGTGTGTGTGTGTGTGTGTGCGCGCGCGCGTGTGTGTGTGTGTGTGTGCGTGTATGTGACTGTGTGTGTATGTGAGTGTGTGAGTGAGTGTGCGTGTGTGTGTATGTGAGTGTGCGTGTGTGTATGTGAGTGTGTGTGTGTGTGTGTGCGCGCGCGCGTGTGTGTGTGTGTGTGTGCGTGTATGTGACTGTGTGTGTATGTGAGTGTGTGAGTGAGTGTGCGTGTGTGTGTATGTGAGTGTGCGTGTGTGTATGTGAGTGTGTGTGTGTGTGTGTGCGCGCGCGCGTGTGTGTGTGTGTGTGTGCGTGTATGTGACTGTGTGTGTATGTGAGTGTGTGAGTGAGTGTGCGTGTGTGTGTATGTGAGTGTGCGTGTGTGTATGTGAGTGTGTGTGTGTGTGTGTGCGCGCGCGCGTGTGTGTGTGTGTGTGTGCGTGTATGTGACTGTGTGTGTATGTGAGTGTGTGAGTGAGTGTGCGTGTGTGTGTATGTGAGTGTGCGTGTGTGTATGTGAGTGTGTGTGTGTGTGTGTGCGCGCGCGCGTGTGTGTGTGTGTGTGTGCGTGTATGTGACTGTGTGTGTATGTGAGTGTGTGAGTGAGTGTGCGTGTGTGTGTATGTGAGTGTGCGTGTGTGTATGTGAGTGTGTGTGTGTGTGTGTGCGCGCGCGCGTGTGTGTGTGTGTGTGTGCGTGTATGTGACTGTGTGTGTATGTGAGTGTGTGAGTGAGTGTGCGTGTGTGTGTATGTGAGTGTGCGTGTGTGTATGTGAGTGTGTGTGTGTGTGTGTGCGCGCGCGCGTGTGTGTGTGTGTGTGTGCGTGTATGTGACTGTGTGTGTATGTGAGTGTGTGAGTGAGTGTGCGTGTGTGTGTATGTGAGTGTGCGTGTGTGTATGTGAGTGTGTGTGTGTGTGTGTGCGCGCGCGCGTGTGTGTGTGTGTGTGTGCGTGTATGTGACTGTGTGTGTATGTGAGTGTGTGAGTGAGTGTGCGTGTGTGTGTATGTGAGTGTGCGTGTGTGTATGTGAGTGTGTGTGTGTGTGTGTGCGCGCGCGCGTGTGTGTGTGTGTGCGTGTGTGAGTGTGTGTGTGCGTGTGTGTATGTGAGAGTGTGTGTATGTGTGTGTGTGTGTGTGTGTGTGTGTGTGTGTGTGTAGGCAGCCCTTTGTTTAAAAAAACAAATGGTAAATTTAAGTCAAAACCGCGTTCTATAGTAACTGTATTGTAACTACAGCGATGATGATGATAATAATAACAATGGTTACACTTTATTTTAAGGTGCCCATGTTACAGTGTAATTATACATATAAGTACTGAGTAATAATAATTAATTACCTACTATATGGTTAGAGTTAGGATCAGGGTTTGACTTTGGGTTACTTACATGCAATTATGCATAATTTATTGTTATTACAATAGTAAGTACATGTAACGTGTAACAAGGACACCTTAAAATGAAGTGTTACCGAATACGTTCTAGACGTTTCCGTCTAGTTAGTCCCCCGTCTAAAGCGGGACAAACAGAAAATGTCGTCTACTCTAACAAAGTATGCTTTGTTGTTTTGATGAGACTTACACCGTTGTGAATGAGATACCACTATTCGCTGGTTGTCTTGCAGTATTAACACGAACTGTAATAGCAATTATTTAAGCGGAAACTGTGGTTACCATGGTTTGTGTGTGTGTGTGGGTGTGTAAAGGCACTTCATATGTTTTGAGCCACAACCATATTCTGACCTTGCAAACTAGTAAGTGTGTATTAACCGATATAATCTGCGCGCATTCATATGGATAGTTTATAGCCTGCTCTCGTCGTCTCGCACACATTGCTGGTGTTGCGCGCGCGCTCTGCGAGTGCTGGCGGTCTGTCAGATGTCGTGACGTCACGTCTGCAGTCGCAGTGTAACATGTAACTTTACTCTAGCCGTCTACATGAGCGCGAGACTCCAGATCAACAGCAACACCAGCATGGGGCTATTAAACACGGCGGGAAGTCAACAAAGTCCGAGAAGAATCGCCATCAAAGACTCGATCTAACCAACTTCTGAGGGGGAAAAAAGACATTTTGGACCGTGTGTTCCGGGTTTTGACACCATCTCTGTTTTGTCAACCAAAGTGACGCTCGCAGAAAGTTGTAGTGTTATAGTTGCGTTTGCGCACGCATGGACTTGTTTGTTTTTGTCATTTAATAGAAGAAAGTAGAGCTCCAGGTCTCTAATGCAATGACCACTAACTACAGAGAGGAGCTGGACTTCAGACTGATGTTTGGGGAGAGCAGTTATCCGTCTTCGCCGGGCCACGCAGGTTTGTACGACACTTTCACTGTACGCGACGCGACGCGACGATAATCAATGAAGCGCGTGCAAGCGTGCGCGGTTAACATGGAGCGTGTCTCTTCGCGTCAGGAGTGTGTTACAGAAGTGGCCATGTTTGGATCTGTGTGTTATGAATACATGGAACCGTGTGTTTCTAAATACTAAAAGTCACTTCCTTATCTTTCCGCATCAAATGTAGAAGTGCGTGTAGTTGACGCGCATAAAGAGGAAGGTCAAAGTCTAATCACGCGAAACATCTTTCACAAGCACGCATGCGTCGTGTATTTACTGTACGTGTGAGAATACTTTCGCCGTTGTCGTGTCTAGTTTCGTGTATACAGTACGCAGAACTAAAACTGCTACGATTGGCTTTGTATAGGGCTATATGTGTTATTGGCACTGTAAGCTGTACTTACTGTACTTTGTAACTGTGTTACTGTACTTCCCTACTGTAGGCTGCTGTTATAATGAATGCAAGTTACTCTGTCCACTGTAATCCATCTTCTATCTGTAGGTAAACTCAACTGATATGGTTACACACACAGTAAATCACCTTTCGAGGTTTTGTTTTATTGCTGGACTGTTGAAGCTTGAGTGCAAAGAGGGTCTATAACATTATGTTAGACATATAGTCTTATCAGTGTGACAGCATCCCTAGCTCGTGGATCTGTGTGTGTGTGTGTGTGTGTGTGATATTTATGGTTAGCTACTGTTGCACTTCTGGCAGCTGGCAGCTTGCTCATGTGTCTGAATGAGCCATAAGAGCATCTCTCCAAATGCATTTGCTCAAGTACCTACAGTATGCCAAGTACGCAGGGCAAGTTCTGCAGTCCTGAAGTACATAAACCTATTTATTTTATTTGGATGAATTTGTCTGCTTTTTATCAGATTTACCAGTTGTTATCATTTCTATTTGTTCAGGTAAATTATGAACAATAGGTAAAATTGAACTGCTAGCGAAAACTTGAGAGAGAATTGGGTGCTGCAAATATTTGAATGGCCCCTCCCCTTTTGTGACTCCTCCCCTTTAAGTGGCCCCTCCCCTAATCTCACTCCAAACTTTAGCTTCAGCTTGAGAGCCCTGCGCACTTGGCATGTATGTCAAGCTGTGTGTGTGTGTGTGTGTGAGAGAGAGCACATTTCAGCTTATGAATGTTTTTTTTTTTTCTGTTGTAAGTGTTTGTTTCACATTTTGATGACAGGGGTAGGGGACTCCCACTTAAAGCACTGTGGCTCAAGGCCAGCCATTTTCACCGTCATGATAGATGATAGCGTTCTGTCCAGAGCCAAACTGTTCCTAGTTTTGGTTTTGTTCAGACCCACCATGGAGAACACTCTCTCTGCAACTGCATTTGAGTGGGGAAGCCACAGTGCTTAAAGTGGGAGCCCCCTACCCCGCTCATCCAGGCATCAAAATGTGAAACAAACACTTACAACAGTCTTACAACAACTCTCTCTCTCTCTCTCTCTCACACACACACACACACACACACACACACACACAGACAGCTTGACATACATGCTCAGGGCAAGTTCTGCAATCCTACAGTATGTGTACAGTATGTACATTGAGCACTAAGGTTCAGTTGGCACTTTAAAAAAAAAAAAAA